TGCGCTGAGATATTACTGCTCACCACCTGCGTAAGACGGGTTAATTAAAATTTACACCTCTTGGTATCGTTTAACAATTTGATGATCACAACAATATACCATACTAGCGCTCAAGCATTTATGCGTTACACGTTAGACGATAATCTTCCAAAGCTCTTACGTTTCAAACAAGATGCAGCTAATCTTTACATGATGGCCTACGTGCGCTTCTAAATCAAACATAAGATCCTCTCCTGCAGCATGATGGATACAGCAAATGTTTTACTGAGAATTAATTGTGATCTGAAGTCTTTACTTCTCCAAAAAAATTGTCTTCACAAAATGTGAATTATTAGAGCTGGTGTTTTTCGCTTTGAAGACAGCGTTTCGGCAAAACTTCGCTTTCCTGTTTCTCGCCTATTTGCGGCCTTCTCGCCATGAAAAACCCACATCTGGGCTTTTGAGGGCATGAAAATGGCAAAAAGTGAGACTTTTTCGGAGCTTTCCAGGTCACAATCAGTGAAATAAGCCGGACCGGAAGCCTTCCGTATCCGCCTCTCTCGTTCCGAGCTCCGCCCACTTGCACGCAATTTCCACTTTATGCGGGCCTGGAAAGCAGTATACACAGCTGCACCTTTATTCGCTGCAGCATTGTGTATACTGCTTGTGACATGTATGCTGATGCCGCGCTCATATTGTTTGAAGAAATCGAGCGTTACTTCGGGAAGTGCACGAAGGAAAAACGGAAACCTATGGGCATGTTTATTTATTTATTTATTTATTTTTTTATTTATTACTTTATTTATTTATTTATTTATTTATTATATGCACTCAAAGTGCGCCACTGAAAAGAAAGAACGAAATGTTCAACTGTTTTCGAATCTTACCGTTCGATGTGTGTCAATTCCAGTACTATTGGAAGGCATTGACAAGTCAAGATCTCTTGCTCTCATTCACCTCTTGAACAACCGAGTTGATTATGGCACAAATCCCTACCGCGATCTCATTACTTCTGTATTACTGGATCTCAGACGGGTGGCGCACGAGCAGGCTGAATACTTTAGGGGTAAAAGCTAGGAAAATGTTTTCTGGAGGGTCACTGGAAAATTTGGAAAAAATGTATAGTTATAATTTAAATCTGCTTATAGATAAGTCTTCCAAAGTGCTGGAAGTCTCCACGCCCATCAATTCAACTTAATTTCTTTACGACACTCCCCTCCCTCAAAAATATTCCCCGAGCCATCAACTTTTTTGGCCTCAGTGAATCAAAATTCTGCCACCTAAGTCATATACAATTATAACCTCATATCCCCACGTTTGAAATTCTTTCGCTCTTATCGTATGCTCATCACTGCCTTATTATTTCCGCTGTCTTCGAAGCAGCACTTCCGAGCGCTAGTATGCTCGCTGCATGTGTCGGGAATTCAAATTTTCGTTCCAGATGAACGACTGGCTCTTTACAACATACACAGTGGAAAGTTGGAACAATTTACAATTTTTTTTTTGAAAAGTTATACAAACCAAGGACTCAAGAAACGTTCTCCAAGTTAGGCGGCTTCGTGCCATCTAGCGAGTCACCTGCGTGGGCCAGAGGAAATAGAGTCATAATTTCTTCCTCACTTAAATTTCTTATCTTTTGTACATGACTTTTTTCAAATCCAATCCTGTGAATCAGTGTATTAATCATTTCAGACCTCTTCTTCTCCACTTAATTACGGTTCCTCAAAAACTTGGGTAATAGTTTTGCTTCATCTGCGGTGGTGCGCGCCGAATAAAACATCAGCTAACTTAGAATAGAATAAATCAAAGAATGCAATTGTGACCAATTCATGTAGTGTTTTAGCGTTCGTTTTGTGTTTCGCAACATTCTTCTTTTTTTCTTTCTTTTATGCTTTTTTTTTCTACATGCGCCTCAAAAGAATTGTTGTACTTTTTTTGCTTGGTTCTACCAAATCAGGTTAGATCTAACCTTTAGAATATTTTCAAAAGTTTAGATCTAAAAGATCGAAAAATCTTTTAGATCTAACCTTTTGAAAATATTTTAGCATGCAATCAGTTTAAAACGATTCGAGTAAAGACGGAACACATAAGGATACGGTTGCCGAGACTGCATACGCCGCATGCGGCGGACGCCACAGTCACAATTTCATGATTGCCCTATATGCTCTCGCACCTAAGCGATGGCTTGGCTAGGGTTGTATCACATGGGGTAATGGACTCTGGAGATTTGGTTTTGACAGAACAGTGCGCTCAAGTTAATCAAACAAATTCTCCTTATCAAGGGGAACTACAGGTGTACGTGCGAAACCGGGATCTACACGAGAATGGTTGTCAAACTGCAAATTACTTTCGGGAAAATAGCAAAACGGATGCTTCAGTTACATATCTAAGCACTTCCGAACTACTCGGTGAATGTGAATGTAGAGCGTACAAACTTTTCTGAATTAGCGTCGTATTCGCTGTCCTCTGGCTCACTTGAGTTGGACAGTTCCTACTTCACAGAGATTACCACAATTTTTACAAAGTTAATTTTTTACAAAGTTAGTTTTTTACAACAAACTTTATCATGCTATGGTTCACTGAAATTAGTGGTTTGGTAGTATGCCAGGACATTTGTTGCACGTTAACGGACATTGCTCCCACATGATCTGCTGGTAAGCTGGGTTCGTGCAAAGTGTTGCCTTACTTGGACAGTCCGAAGCACCAGTGCGTGGGTCTACTCGGTCAAAACATTTTCCTAAAATGAAACAAAGACTAACAAATCGCTGTACCTGAACTGAAATGGCATGACAGAGTTTACCAATACATGGTTCTAGCTTGGAACAAAGGGCTCACCAGGGTCTGGTAAAGCGCCAGGACATCTTCCACATGTTAAAGGACACTGCTCCCACATCACCTGCTGATAATCTGGGTGTGTGCAATAAGCTGCCAAATTGTGACAATCCGTAGCACCAGTGCGTGGGTCTACTCTGTCGAAGCATGCTGGAAAATTAGCCAGTATCTTAAGCAATATGATACTACCTTGTCATACCTGGACTAGTGCTGACTCCTGAAAGGAGGCCTACAATAGCTAGATATACTAACATAGCAAAAGGAGGTTATTTCTAACAACTGCCTTAGCGAGATTAGAAGTGCTTATATTCTGTTCTCTCTCATCAACACACCTGCAATGACACGCAGCATGTGATGCAAGACTCAAGGTTAGCTTCTGTTTAGCTTGCTGGCGAAGAGCAAAAAATTTTATCTGCAGTTACACGAAATTTCATCGCAATTTCATAATCGGTGATGTGAGAATGATGCAGATGTATGAGCTTCTGTTCAATGTAAGCAAACAGCACAGTATTTTTTTCATTCATTTGAAGTTTTTCTTCATCATGATATCATTTGATACAGCTGTCTTTGTAATGCGGCGATTTCAAAATTATTTTGTATGCCGAAATCAAACTTCGAATCGACACTGCAATCCAGATGCATCAAGTTTTTTTTGATTGTCGAGGTCAAAGTGCTTGTAGTGTGGTTTAAAAAATTTAAGGTAAAGTAAAAAAATAGGGCTATTTCAAGCACGCGCTAGGAAATATTCCTACTCAACAAGAAAGGTATTTGACTTGAAGTGGCCTAAATGGCAAAGTGTATACTACAATGACCACCTTAAAATGCTGATTACGAATATGCTTTTCTTATCTGCTTATCGATTCAATGAACGAAGTTACAGGCATTTGTTTAGGTGCAAAAGGATTTTGTTGCTTGTTGCAGATAGCTAGCTTTGTAGCAGAGTAGCTTCAAAACAATTACCATTGATTTTTTATGTGCAACAAACATATCTACGACATTCACGCACGTAACTCTGGAAATTCGCATTTACTACGTTAGGTCATTTAGACGGTTCCTGAGTATGCAATTGAAAACAGAAAAATGCCTATAGCTTTGTTTAGTAACCCGATAAGCAGATAGGAAAGACTGTTTTGAAAATGCCACTCAAAGTCTATTCGAATGATATGCATCTCACTAGGAAAGTTCACTTCAAGCCAAATGCTTTCCCTTGTCAGATTAGGACGAAGTCAATTATTGAGCAGTGGCGTACCGAGGGGGGGGGGGCGCGGGGGGCGCGCCCCCCCCCCCCGAGAATGGGTCGCGAAATTTTTGAAAGTTACCTATGTTTGTTATAAAAATGTGCAAGTGACTTGTTTATTTTTGTAAATAATTAAAATAATTTTTAAAAATTTTTGAAAATTCAAATTAGCTTTGTAAAAAAAAATTTTTCGGGGGCGTGGCTGACGCCACGCCCCCTTTTTCTAGATTTTAGGGGTCGGGGACCCGCAAAAGTTTTGAGAAGCACCCCAAAATTTTTTCGAAGTGCGTGGCTGACGCCACGCACCTTCATTAGAAAAAAATTTTTGTCGCGCCCCCCCCCCCGAGCCGAAATCCTGGGTACGCCACTGATCAAAGGATACATGTAAATTGCAGTTTACTATCGTGAAAGATTCCGCTGCCTTTTTATAGCCACTCGAGGTGATGTTCAGTCGTCATGTAACAAAGAGCCTTTTACTTTCAGAATGCAATAACTCACCTATACATCCTCAAATTGCAGGTCCGAATGTTTAGATCCCCATAAATCGTGTAATCTTGTAGTAAGACTGTAGCAAAGGTTTTGGTAAACATGGGTACCTTATGTTGCTTATGAAAAGAGAATTTCTGAGTCGATTTAACCATTTGTTACAAGACATGCATGAGTTCATCTCAATTTGGATTGCTAAACTCAAACTTGCATTCACTATTTTCTGGAGAGTCTTCTGAAACGACATGGTAAGCACTGTGCTTTATAAAAATTGTCACACTTTAATGTCTTTACTGCGCGCATTTCGTTTCACAATATTGTAATTTGACCGTACGTATACACGGTTTTTGCTGACTGTAAAGTCAGCGAAAACCGTGTAATCAACGCCTCGCCGGGTATGGGCAGGCTGGAAACTTTAGCTTTTTTCTGCTATTCTTCAAGTAGGCAGCCACTCGTGGGTGGCTCACTAGTTTGCCCAGACATATTGCTTAGCTTCTCGATTGTAACCCAAAACAACTCGTGCATGTTTTATAACCACACAGCTTCACGCGTTAATCCCAAGATGCAAATCAAAAACAGATATAAGCCTTTTTATTTTCATACATGTAATAAACGTGAGTTGATGTTATGTATGTTACAAATATCAAATCACATTCAAGAATTCAAACTAAACTTTGCACATTTAGGAGGGGGAGGGAGTGAGTTTATTGAATACCTTCTTACCGCCTTTCTGTAAGTCTTCAGCTACGAGACTGGAAGTTGGCACAGAGGTGAAATGAACATGCTGATTAAGAAGACAAAATAGATTTTCAGAGGTATCAATCCCCTTCAATAGTCTCAACAATTTCTTTGAAAACTTTGAACCACGGGGCTAAGAAGTAATACACGGGGAAGTGAGATGCTGTTTACGAAGAGAAAACGGAGTTGCAGATTTATCACCAACCCTTAGTGATTTATAGATCTTTTGCAGAAATTCTGCTAGGGGACCGAAAGTTAGCATATCAAATTAAGTGAGCATGATGATAACGAAGGCAATATTGGTATGAAAAACTACTCATTACATTTATCAATTCTATCGATTCTTTGCAAAATATGAGCTGTAGGAGAGTTGGCAGGGTAAGTGAGCATGCTAATCTCAAAAACATAGCTTGGACAGAAAGCAGGTACGAAAGAGATAGGGATAGGAGAATGTTGTATAAAGTTAACAACAGTAATCCGTACGAGGGAATGGGAGAGAGGGGGGGAGTTTATGTCTCTTAATTCTTCATGAGAAATCTAGCAGAATTTTATACGAGCCATCGCTTCCGTTTCAATTACCCCTCCTCAGCAAAATGCATTTTATGTATCGTATTGTAAAAATATGTTGGCATGATGTGATCCTGGCTGCCTTACCATGATTGCTATAATTACATACTGCGTCTTAACGCCAAATGGGTGCTCCTTCTTGAGTGGTTACCGTAAAATTATAAAATGGACTTTACATTTATGAAATTGTCTCAAAAGTCAAATGCCGATCAACTATACTTCAAAGCATTCAGCAGTTAAGAACCCACACTTAGTTTCAAATTATTTACGGCTATGTCTCAATCAATACTTGAATTTTGCTCGCCTTTATAGTCTCCCCAGGGTAGGGCACAGACTGAAGATCTGGAAAAATCCAAAATTCTCCTCTATCGAACTTAGGAATGACATCTGAACTGTCATATCTTGACCGAAATAAATTGCAAATGTTAACATTGAAAGACAGAAGGTTTCTTGCCGATATTGCCTTTATCTATAAGCTCACCACAAATAAAATTGGTTTGAATCTGTTTATATTCTCGAACCACCCACGGCGAACAAATGTGAAAGGCCACCTATTCAAGGTTAAGGTTGAATGCCATCCTGTCTTCCTGTAAGAGAAACTTGATTTGACGTGTGTACATGTTTTGGAATAGTCTTGATCCCAAACCCTTCAAATATTCTTCTGCCGCATCGTTCAGTTCTCATTTGCTTGATATCACCTTTATTCCCGTAGTACGCTGATTTCTTCTTGATTATCTTTTCCACTTAAGCCCGTATACACGTACATCCCCGCAGGGACGGGTTGACGTTTCACTAGTGAAATGATCCCCGCTGCTCGCTTCAGATTTCTTTTTCGATCAGACTAGAACTATTGCGTTAGTCAGAGTAGTGCCCTCGCATGTGTTAAGACCTCCCCACCCTCAGTTGACCTAAACAACGCCTTCAACTGCAAAGTCAAAATGGACAAATGCCTTGTTTACAACGCAAAGACAATCATATGATACCAAATTGTGCAAACTTAAATAAACAAACGACTTGCTCCCAGCGCAGACGCAATCATGCGGTTTTAAACTATATGTACACAGGTTAAAACGTAGTAGAAAACTAGGTAAGCTTATGTTACTTACGACAGTAGCTTTCAATGTCAGATTTGTCGTCATCCAAGCCGCCACCATGAAGACCAAATGGTCATGAATGAGCGGATATTTCTGCATTGCAAATTTTTGGAGATTATTATCCTATACCTCTTGCGCGGTTATTAGTCTATTCTTTTCTGCGGACTATTTCTGAGCATTTGCTCTCCCTTTTGTTTGTAGTAAATCCAGTTTGATAGATACTGCGCCCAAAGGCATTAGTAGGGGTTGCGCCGCACGACTCTATTTTTGCTGTACGAATAACCTGAGATTGTCCATACAAACTTTCCGCAACAAACCTTCTTCATGTGCTCTTCTCTATCGCTGCTTACAGCTATCGCGATGTCTGACTCAACCGTTTTCCGTAAGATACTTTAAGATGTTATGCGGATTATTTTTTGCTACGTTTGCATGAATTCTTTCTAGCAAAGTCTGCGGATTTTCCTTTCAAAACATGTGTTTCACAAATGTAGCACTCAAAATGTAACCACGGCTTTTGCCCGTATACTCAGAAGCCACCATCAAAGGATTGCGAATTCCCCGGCTCCGAAACCACATTGAAGGCAGTGGTTCGGCAAATTCTCAACCTGAAGTTTTTTTCGCTTGCCTAGGTTAATTCGACGGGCAGAATCCAAAAATTCACCTAAGAGCGCAAAAGTGGCGAAAACCAGCATTCTCCAAAACTCCTCATTTTATATCTGGACGAGTGCAACGGTTCCGGCCATCTCAGACACTCGCGGTTGACTCGCGCAGGGGATCCGCCCACAAAATGGGCGTTCGCAGCAAAATCCGGTGGACCGGCGCGAGTCATCGTTTTAGTTTCGCCCCGATTTTAGTGCGATTTTGCCGCGACGGGCGAAGATTTCGAAATAACGCACGTATAGGTCAATTCTTCCTAGCTTTTCTTGCTTCTCTTCCTTTCGATTTGAATTACTCTTTCAATTGTTATTGCGGGGGGGAGGGTGCTTCAGCACTTTGCTTTCCATTGTTTTTCAATCTTTTTGCTTGAAACAGTGGATCCCAACACTTTCTAACTCGATATTTTTGAGATTACTTGTGTGTAGAAAGTCAATCAAATGTTATCTTACCATGTGCTTCCAACTTTTTATCTGATTATCGGGAGATTTTCTTGCCACGGTTTCGTTGTTTGACCCTTCGTTATTCCTACCAGTTCCGCTATGACCTCTCACACTATCTTTTGCTTTTCCTTTTTCAGCTCGACTTTTGAGCTGTTTAGGAAGCCAGGCAGGATTTTGTGGAAGCGACACTTCAACCACCTTGCTACGTGTTTCAATGGTGTGAATAACGAAGAGCTAGCCGAAGGAAATTTGGAGAACTTTTTCGAGATCTTGCGAGCAGTTGTACTTAGTGGGTACTCACATGGACTTATTTCGGTTATTTCGATTTTTTTGAAGAGAAGCTGAACATATGGCGAGACGTCATAGCCTTCTTAGAGTTCGATTTTATTCCTGTGTGTTTGTTGAAGATATCTAAGGAGGTGAGCCTTGTCGTAACGGAAGATCGAAATTCTAGAATTTCTGCACAGTCTCAGTCTTTCAGATATGCACACTACTAGTTGACTTCCTGCTTACTCTTGCCCATGATCTGGAGACACTGGACGCTGAAGATTTCCCGCTGAACGCTCTCCACGCAACATCAACTTTCGAGCGATTTTTGTTGAAGCAAGACGAAGAAATTATTACCGGTACTCGACAGGTAGCAATCATAAACACCATAAAGTTCTTGACATGACTAAACTTCCATGTTCTAGGCTGAACTGGCTTACATTGGTTGCCAGCTTGTTCTGATGCTCGGGATAACTTTTTTAGATTAGCTGAATTTACATATTCAGCGAATCTCATGAGATTCGCCCACATTCGCTCACCATTTTGCGGTGATTCAGCAAGGAGATGAAATTCGACATGAGAATGCATCATATGGCAAAGTTTTGATCGAGGTGACGTTCTTTATTTGTGTTGTGTGTCTTTACTCGTAAAGTTTCTTTATTGAGATGGCATTCCTGGATGCGTCACTCTCACCGATACTCCCATCACATACGGCATGTGCCTATACATATATTGCTGCTAACTTATTTGAAACACCCTTTGATAGCGATAAAATGAGGTGAGCTTTTTATTTGTGAGGCTATCATTTCTTCCCCAAGTGATTTCTTAACTTTTTTATATCATTCTCTATCAACATTGCCGTTTAATAGTGTGAATTGTGTTTGAAGGAAGGTAATATTTTGCCGCGACCTTCAGAGACTACCGTAAGAATTTGTTGTTATGAATGCTCACACTTGGCTGTTTCCAAATTCTGTGAAAAAAGAGACAAAAAATAGTGGAAATGTAACTAGCAAAGGGGTCCGACCATGCATTGCTGCTGTTCCGCCATTACCAGTACCCTCTGGTGATTACAGCGGTAACGCCTAATATATGGCCGAGTCCAACTTTTCCACACTTTCAAAAGCAGTGGCTTCTCTGTGTTTGCTTGGCATATTGTCAATGGTTGGAAAGGTTAGGTAGAGTCAGGATTCCCGACTTGTTTTGCAAAAAAATGATTATTTTCGCGGCGAGACTACTTTGTCACGAAAACACTTTTTACGCAATTTGGCTGTCTAATTTCTTACTCCTTTTCTTTTTGCAAACTACAATTTTGTATTGTAGTATGCTGGCTTTTTACAACAAGAATCATCCAATAGTGAGAAAACAGAATAAAAGTACAAATAACCATTTTTTTGCAGTATGCATTTGGAGAAATGTTGAAGGTACTAGAACGACTAGACCCTCTGGCGAAATATGGGAAAACTCAGGAGTATAAGGTTTCAGGTTTCATCCTTGACGCTCTTGGCCTACACCGCGACCAGCTTTTGAGGGCGCCAGATGAGCACAAACGGAATCCAAATAAGTATGTATGTTCTCGAAAGACCTTCATGTCCACTAGAATTTAGGTGGTGGTTGGACTTGGCCGAAAATGACGACGCTCGCGAAAGATTATTCCACGTCCTCTCAGAGAAAAGAGTAATCTGGAGCGGTAAAACGAGGATAGCAATAGGGAGAGCTTTGTGAGTTTTCTCATACAGAAAGCGATACTTCTGAACTATAATTTTGCAGAAAGACCTTCGAAGGTATCATTTTGACCCTGATAGGGCCATGCTCCTTCCATCAAAGGTGATTCATTTGTTTTATACGATCCTGGTAACAATAATTTTTCATTTTCAGAAAAAGCGTGTCATGGTCGAAGACAGCACTGTTACTAAAGAAGACGAAGTGATCCAGAAGACTGAAACCGTCGAAGACGAAGTTGAAGTAGTCGAAGACTGATGCTGTTCTCATTCTTAGTCGTAGTTTTTCGTAATGTGTCGTTTTTGTGGTGTTTTCAATCCTGTAATTGCTGCTGACTGTGCATATCATTTCCATGTCATTGTAAACTCTACTCGAGAAGATCATGCGGTATTTGTTAATAAATTTTATGACGTAAGACTGGGTTTATCAGCAGAAAAAAAACAAGCGTGGGAAACGGGACCCAACGTGACCAAGGACTCAAGGTAAGTCAAAAGGAAGGCGTGAGAGAGGGCTTAGAGGACGCAAAAAGCTGTCAGTAAGGGCGTAGGCCGCGTGCTCTGAACGCGATCGCGACATTTTGGTGTCTCGCGCAGGTCTCCCCATTTTGCCCCGATTTTGCCGCGCACTTTTGCCGCGACACAAAATCAGGTGTCCTGATTTTGCCGCGACACCGATTTCGCGAGTCGCCCACGCATTCAATGGCTACACATCGTTTTGCCCTGCGCGAGTCAACCGCGAGTGTCTGAGATGGTGAGACGCAGAGTGGTCGCTGGACCTCTATGGTTATAACATTGCGGCATGCCTCCTCTGACAGTGAGTGGGGAATCGCAAGCTCGTCCGAGCGCGTGTAAGAATGGCTTGGGCGTACGGGTTAAGGGGCAGTCTCTTAGGCAGAGGCAGCATGCCGTGCACTCGGACCTGCTCAGTCCTCATGGGTGGGGGTGCAAGTAACCTTCCATATCAAAACTCCGAGAAGTTCGGTTTTACCGAGCTACTGCCTTTAAGTTAAGACTAGTATAAGTAATTTTTATGAAGATATTTGTTTGTTACTTTTACTTGTCCATTTGAAACACGCATCACTTTCGTTTTACGTGTTCGACTTCTACATTTCTTCACTGTGAAGCCGAATTACATCCTTAAACTCCTTAGACTTGTTTAATTCAAGGATGATTCAATATATCTATTGATCAGTGGCGTACCGAGGGGGGGGGGCGTCGCGAAATTTTTGAAATTTACTCAAATGTGTTTTAAAAATGTGCAGAAGACTTATTTTTACTTGTAAATAATTAAAATAATTTTTAAAAATTTTTGAAAAATTCAAATTAGCCTTGTAAAGTAGCTGTCGCCACTCCCCCTTTTTCTGAAAATTTGGGGTCAGGGGCCCGGAAAAGTTTTGGGAAACATCCCAAAAAATTTTTCGGAGTGCGTGGCTCACGCCACGCACCTTCATTAGAAAAAAATATTTGTCGCCCCCCCCCCCCCGAACCGAAATCCTGGGTACGCCACTGCTATTGATACTTTAAAATGAAGAAAAGTGGGAGAAAATGGTAAGCTCAACAGAATCTCTTAGTCTTTCTCTGAAGGAAGATACTGCCAATAGCTGTAAGATATTTCGTGGGCCTCTTGTAAACAGCAAACCAATCATGAAAAACGTCAAAATTGTCGAGGACCAAATTTATTGTGGTGGAGAACGCGCTGACCTGCAACAGTTAGCAGCTTATCCAAAACCAATGGATAAACATAGCAACTAACTTACTCGCTTGCTGCATAGAATATTACAAAATCTGGGAACCCCTATTGTATGATACTGCTCGTATTTTTCGAAAAAAAAGACGCGAAGTCGCCCGATTTGTGTGACATCACCGTAGCGTGACCATATCTCGGCCCAAAGTGGAAGAATTTTTGAACCAAGGGCGCCATTCGATTCAGCTTGGGGCGGATCATCTTCGATTATATTGAAGTGCTTGTTTGGACACAGTAGGAGGCCAGATTTCACAGATTGTTTCAGATTTTTGCTTACGATAGGTTGCCCAGTGAGTGCAATGGATAAACATACTGAGTAACCTACCGTAAGCAAAAAGCTGAAATAATTTGTAGAATTTGGCCTCCCAACGTGTTCAAGAGGGCACCTCGCATAAGAAGATGCGCAGTGCCGAGCTGCGTCGAATGGTGCCCTTGATTAAGAATTCGTCCACTCTGAAGTAAGATATGGTCACGCCGCGTTAAATGCCTTGCAATCAAAACAAATTGATGAGAAGTATAAAAGTTATGTTCATATGGCATCCATTTGTATGTTCAGAAGTATAATAATGGCTGTTATTACCAGTGCACTTAGAAATGTCAAAGCCCAAAAGTTCATAATTTATCGTATATTTGTATTTAAATAAATCGACGAACATCATGTAACACCAAAGCACATCGATTCGAATAATTTAACGTAATTTTTACGAATATGACTTCTTCTGATATGCGTCTGCACTTTAAGAGTTTCAACGATTTTTGCACTCATTTCAAATTCTTTTACAAGTAAAGGTCAATTCTGTGGTAACTACAGAAACCTTGAAAAATTTGACCACTTTCTTCTAATCAATATATCCGCAATGGGGTAGATCACAATATTCAGAGTTTGTCTTAGTTAAACTAGGATAAGGCAGCTTAAATGCACATGCCTTTCGAATTCAACATATTCTTTCCGTGTTCCATATTTCTTCAACGGGATTTTTCATATGTGAGCACGCCTACTTCAAATGTGCTTCTGGCTGTGTTTCCAACGTTGTTTTCGCAGAGTTTCAAGTTCCTTGGCCGTTTACCGTTTTTAAAGCTTATCACACGTAATTTTTACGAAAATGTTCATCTTACATTAGTTTCTTGCTTATTTGTGTGATAGATTGCGTTTGTTTTATTGTACATGTTAGACCACACTTTTTAGTAAAAGCTAAACCAAAACAAAGCCGAGGAAAATTCCCAATCAGTTCTACTTTGGCGTAAATACAGGTACTTCAGACGGAAGGGAGAACGAAAGAAGTAAGGGGATACGTTGAACTCTGTCTCGAATAGGAATCGTTCGGCAAAGCTTGAATTCACTCGTAGAAACATAACACTCTCCGCGTCAGGAGTCCGAAGAAGAATCTCCAATTATATTTCTCTAAGGCGCAGCCCATTCCTCTGCTATTGTAGATGTTCGTGCCGTCTCTCTGAGCAAGGGTATTTGAACATCATAAACGTTCTGGATGCATTTCAAACAACAACAAAAACACTGCTTTGAACAAAAAATCGTTTTGGCTGTGAAGGATATTGGCATGCGATAAATGATTTTCTGCTAGAAACCACTTAATTTTACCAAAGTGCCTTTTCAAAACGTTCGGTGTATAGAATAATTTGAAAATTATTGAATACGTGCCACTTACTGTATTGAGTTCTACTGCCATCTTATCGATCGTATCGTAACTGTAAAGTGGATAAATTACGATCTAAACCAGATAGTTTGAGAAAGCAACATACTCAAGAATAAGAGCCTCATATCTTGAGTTCATCTTCAAATAGTCCTTAGCGTTCAAGTGAGTTTGAGCACTCTTTGCGCATTCACAACAGAACTTTACCTTGTGCTTCTGTAAGCTATGAACAAATGTGGACTACGAATAAAACTGAATACAAAGCTCTCGTATATGCAATCTTACGTAGGGTCGAAACGCTTGATGTAAAAAAAAACTCACAAGGTAACCGAGCGATCCTAATAATTTCTCGTTCAACTTATCATTCGTGCTACTCAGTCCTAAGCAAGGCTCAAAGAGGCGGCCTCCATCTGCCACCTAATTGCATGAGCGATAAATTGGAGCAAGTCCATAGTACTACACTTACTGCAAACACAGCAGAAAGAAAAACTAATATCACTAGCATGGTTTGTTATTGGACGACGATTAATGAACGTTGTTATACGTTCTTGCTTTATATCCATCGGCTCTATCGAAGGCAGTGATGGAAGTTCGTTTGCTCAGGGCATGCAGAATGTACTAAAGGAATGGTTGTTGAAACAACCCAAAATATATGAAATGAGGTGAGGTCCAGAACCAAAAATCGCGTACTTAATCGCTTATGTCGCTTATGCTAGTTCACCGTATATTGTTTGATTTTGTATAAACTAACTAACATTCTGAGTAAATCCAATTATAGGGCATTCATGTGACACACTTTCGGCAACGCATTCTCTTGAAATCTCTCAACTCGAATTGTTGTTTGCATATATATGATAGTTTTTAGACATTGATGTGAATATGAGAATTAAGGTGATCCTTTTCGTATGATGTGATTGTTTCATGCTTCTGTGGCGCAAAGATTGGAGCCCAAATCTATCGTGACACGATTCCATGAATGCTCTATACTTATCTTTTAATTATGTGTGACAGTTATCTCGCATGCTGTTCAAACTCTGAAGTTCGAAGATTCGATAGGCCTCAAGCTTATAACTCTGTTTGTCCCTATCATCTGCATGCATCTGCCAGCCTCACCGATTTCTATCAACAAGTTTAGTGTCATATTCAAACATTTTTCTTTTAACATAAAAAGCTGCATTTGCTATTATTAGGTTGGTCTAAAAATCTTCCATCAAATTAATTCATTTCACATTAAGTTATTTTTTTACTTTCCGCGTATTCCAGCACAGACTATTATGTAGCAAAGCAAGCTCTACAAAAAAAACAGCCAAGTTTTTGCAATGAGTTTCACACACAGTTTAAAGAAAGAACCAAAAGTTTTGTGCTCAAGAATTCAAGAAAAATTTCTAATTTCGTTAAAAAGGGTCCTACGAATCTCCTACCACTTAAGTGAATACTTCTCACAGAATACATTCATATATCCTTTGTTTCAACCAGATCGGCAGCTGGAAGGCGGGGCTCCGTGACCTAATTAAAGGCAGCTATCAGGCAGATTTGGACATTTTCGGATACTATCATGAGCGAGTACTACGGCCTCGATCTAGAACTATCGCGCAAACACGACTTTCGAACACCCCCTGCAAAAGGAGAAAATCAGAGCAGGAAAGGCCGAGCCTCGAGGACCACGCCCACTTCCTCGCACCGCCTGCTCCCTTGAATGAACTCTCCCCAGCCCTTGACGTGTTTTCAGGTGGCAAACACCGTCGGACACATAGTGACTACCTGTTGATGCTTGCTTTCGACAGGGATAGCATTAGGGACACTCGTTCATGATTTTTTAGAAAATTGTTTTGGAAATGGGGTTTTCTGAGGGACTCACGCATTTTTAGTGCTACATGCGGAATCAATGCCATGAAAAGCCCTGGATAAGGCAAAAAATAGAGGTCGAGGTCCTGCCTGGACTCTGCCTTTAAGGCCAGAAAATGATCAGAGATTATATTCGAGAGGGAGGCGCAGGCTGCGTCGAGGACGCGAGCGTCGCCTCCCAAATCATGAAGCCCCGCCTTCTAGCAGTCAATCTGGTTCAAGCAAAGGGTACAGTTGCTGTATATTTTCTTGACTGAAACCGAGGAATTGAGAAATGAGGTTGAACCCTAAAGCCAAGGCTCCGCACAAATGGTTTGAGGTTTTAATTAAACTTTGTTTTTGAAGTAAAAAAAGAGCATCGTCAAATCATTCAGCCTCTGACTAAGGCCTAAGGCATACTTCCTGCGATCTCGCTAAATCGACATTCACGCGACTTGGCGATTTGTGAGATGTTTAGATATTTATTGTACGCGGGTGGCGCTTAGCTTTTGTAAATTGATGCAAACGCATGACGTCTGCCCAAGTGCGCTTGCGACCAATTATGAATACTTGTTGCAGTGCCAGATCGCGCAGGGACTGATATCGCATGAGGTACGCTTTAGGCCTGAGGGAGCGGCCGTTGCCTGCTGTCCGAGGTTGCCGAGTTTGCCGGAGTTGACGAGGTTGCCGGAGTTGCCGAGGTCAGAGACAGCTTAAAGGGCGCGCGAAACGTGGAGGCTAACATGAGGTCCTATAACGACCGGCAACCTTGGCAACACCGGCAACCTCTGCAACACCGGCACCCTCGCAATGTCGGACACACTTGCTAGCAACCTATGGCCGTTCCTTGAGAGACGCGAGCACGCTTTGTGTGCGTATGATCAACAAATATGAGCGCGTTCTAACGCGTTCCTGTATACAGGGTGTCCCAAAAAAATGTGCCTACTGTTTGATTGTAAATAACTCCCTTGTAATGTAGTGTTTCGAGATGTTTTAGGTACCGTTTTGTAGGGCGAGGTCAAACTTAGATTTGCAGTATGGAGCGAATCGTCTATCGCTCTTCATTACTGTAGGATTACGGTACAAAATTCGACAAGGATTTTAGGGCCATTGGAGGCTATATTCGGCCTCCGAACAGAACCAAACAAGCCAAAAACTCTTGTACTACGGTAATGGGAGCCGCTGATTCCGATTTTGAAATTTTCATTTTTCTATGATGCTTCTTTCCAAAGTTATCCCCGGTAAATCGTAATAACTCAGTTCCCAGCATTTGTAAATGTAATTACAACGTCAAAAAAGCTGAAAACACTCGTAAAAAGTTGTTAGGTAGAATCAGCATGCGCGAAAACCCTAATACACGATTTTTCAGAATTTTTGAAAAAAGTTTTATTAAATAGTAAATTTCACATTAAATCCATATGTTGGAAGTTCTTACCGTAATCCTACAGTAGTGAAGAGAGATCAGTGATTCGCTCTATGCTGTAAATCTAAGTTCAACCTCGCTCTATAAAATGGCACCTAAAGCTTCTCGAAACACATCATCACAAGAGACTTATTTACAATCAAACAGTAGGCACATTTTTTTGGGACACTCCGTATAACTGATGAGAATTCCTAGAAGAACATGTTCGAATTCGCGTTGAAACGAGCTCAAACATGTTCTTCCAAGAGCCTAGTAGTAAATCAACCAAAACGCGTTAAAACTCACTTATGAACTCGCTGATCAAACGTACGCAAAGCGTACTCCTGTCCTCAGTCAGAGAATAAGTGATACATATCTACCCTCGATATCATCCCATATGTCTTCCCTCAACATGACGTGGATTGTTGAGGTTGTTGAGGCGCCGCCGCGCTCCACGTCGCATCGGTATTGCGCCACGTGTGCGGCGTGTCGCTTTGCCAACTTCCAATCGATGGCGTCGTGCTCAATCGCTTTTACACGTATCTTTCGCACAATTTGAGTTTTCTTGCAAAGTTCTTACTAGGTTTTTCATATGTAATTCACTAGTTATATTTTTCTCCATGCATATTCACCTCCTGATAATACACTTCGCAATGAAAACGAAGCTATGACCTGTCATGTTTTTTGCTTTTTGAAGGTTTCATGAATGATGCGTTTTGTTAGCACTCAGCAATACAAACTACCTTTACTTCTAATCTTCATTTGAATGCACATTTGAGACGACTGTAAGAATTGTCGGATTCGGATATGATTTAGCATTCCACTCGAGTATTTAGCATGACAACTTCCAACTTATTCTTTACGACCATGAGCTTGCTGCTTTTTTTCGTGTGTCATTTATACGGTCCGATTGTTTATTTCAGGAAAATGACAGAATATGGAATATTCAAGTAAGCAGCGGCCACATTTCGAGTAAATTTCAATATTTATGCACATTTGTGGAAAATGGTCACACAGTCCACCGTAATCGATGAAAATCAGATGGTAGCAAACAATCTTGTGAGTTTCTTATTTCTCAGATCTATTATCGTTCGTGTACAAGCCATAAACACATCTCACTGTTTCTTCGTTATAGCTGTGCATGCACATTATGATGCATTTAAGTATATGATGTTCAGAAATCATTTATTACCTTTATTTGCCTGTACTTCAGGGAATCACGAAAGTGTTTCCATGTTGATGGAAACAGTCATTTTCATATGCAAAGCCACCGGTTGCCAACCAGCGATTAGCGCCCCGGTTTGTATGGAATATCTTTCTGAGGATCTCCGTCATATCAACTTAGTTAAGGTCAGCATAGTTTTGCCAACGAAAAGGAAATAGCTTAGATAGGAATTTAAGCTTGGTGAAACATGCTCATGGTACTCCTGCTAAAGTAAAAAGTGTGAACAAGAACTTTGTATTTCTTGACTTATCTATTCAGGATCACGTTCATGAATCATGGAATTCGAATGTGAACAAGGTGACTGTCATCTTCTCAAACATTCCAAACGAACAGTTCGTTCCGTGTACAACAAGTATGTGTTATGTAACTCTCGCAATTTGCCTTCCAGACCAATCTTTATTTCAGCAAAGTTTTGTCTGATATTCGCATGAAAGCTGGAATGACGGAAGTCTATCTCACTCTAGCAGAAAACCGACTCCTTTATAAAGTTGTTGTAAAAACCCGATAATGTTTGTTACAAAACCTGTCTGTCTGTATCCATTCTCGCCTGTATTTATTGAACTGTCTTTCTGATAACTGATTACATTCCCACTTTCATAGTGGATAGAGTGTCGTGTTAACGATTCTGGATCTCTCTTTCGATTGTTACATGAATATGGAAATGTTCGAATGATTTTAGCTTTGTTCAAGTTTCCGTATGTCACAGTTATTGCCTCTTTGTTGAGATAAATTCGAAAAGAATGCGAGTGTTTTTGTCGAATATAGCAACCAGCCAAAAAGAGCAATACAATACGTTTTCAATCTGCAGTTTTCTCAAGTTTGAGCGCTGCTTTTAGTCCCATATAGAAGAAACGTAAGAGAATGTCTGATATTTTGGATTAGTAGGTTTAATAAGCCCAATATCTTTATTTATCGAATTTATTTATAAATGCATATCAAACCGACAAACAAACAATACACAACTCAGAAGTGACGAAAATTCTCTCCTCAGGCATTTTAACGTTTTTGGTTCCTAGTCAGATATATTGACATATCATATCAATCAATCAATCAAATCATTTTACTAATCATTATGCAAAATTGTCCTGTGAGGAAATTCTAGTTGAAATACAATCTCTGATTCTTGATTATGCAATGTTATAGCAACATCTTTCTATAACAAAATTAAACTACGCAGTTTCCAGCTAGTGACCAGAGCAGAGATGTCCACTCACATTGAGAAAGTTCGAACGCGACAGCTGGCATCTCATAGAGCCCCGTTCAAGCTTCTGCGCTTGTTTTCATGGTACACCAGCATGAAATGCGACCAAACAAAGTAAAAACATTATTCCTTAAAAGAGGAAGCAAAATAACATGGAATTGAAATAAAAGAGTTACCTGGAGTTTACCTGGAGATCGTTCCACATTGTTGTAGTCGAGTTACTACTGTCTCAATTTCTTTGAGGAGTGGGCATCATAGACAAGTTTTCTTCAACATCCTCTATCCAATTCACATTCTAGCAACTAAGAACTCGTCGTTACTGAAAGAAGTGACAAAAAGGTCTAAGAGTTTGGCTCATTTACAGTCGAGTAGATTTTCCGCTTAATATAGTGCGCTTGCACTGAAGGTGAAATGCGGTAAAATTTGCGCGTGAACAAGTAGCCACACCAGTAATGTCAACATTTTGCGCGCGCAAGTGGCCGGCGCCACAGGGTGGCTATTTCTTTACGCGCAAATTTTACCGCATTTCACCTTCAGTGCAATCGCACTATGTTAAGCGGAAAATCTACTCGACTGTACAAACATCAACGGAAACTGAGCTGGCTGCAATGTTTGGAAAAATCCTGACAACCAGTAACATAATGAACATTTTCAATTCAACTATGCTTTGGATATCGTCTAAATCAAAACTCCGAAACGAAAAAGATGCAGTGATTCTCAATTTAAAAAGTCGACACAGATATATTGTCAAAACAAACTTGGTGAATCAACTAAAACTAGGTATCTCCGAAGCACAGGTGTCCACAGCATTCCAAAGCAGACTATTTGTTCTTTTTTGAATGAACTTCAAACTCGTGCTTATCATGCTAGTTTCCCTCAAATATACAAACTTCATCGTTCGAAAACGAGTACCTGAAAAGAAAAGGATTACATTTTTTTAAGCTAACACTGAAAAAAACTTGATTTGGTGTACTTACTGCAAATTTTCTAAATAATCATTTGCGAGACATTAGATCGGTATCTGATCAATAGCTATGCATTTTCCGAATACTGTGGATCATCGTTGTTAGAAAACCCGGTACTTTTCCGTTATCCGGACCCATTTTTTCAAAAAGCTCTTATAAAATACGTTCGGTAGTCTAAGTACAAATTTTCATAGATTCTACGAGGACTGCCTCTCTGCCACGTGTCAGGAAAAAATTGACACGTTTTAATCCGTTTTGACACGTTTTTTCGAAATCATTTCTGGTGAGGTAAAAGAGCATTTGTAACCACCTAGAAGCTCTCCAGCTGATTTACATAAGAGCAAAACAATCTAGAACCATCATTACTTATAATAACGGGCTAAGGATGTTTACGTGACTTTGTCTGTGTGTGTGTGTCTGAGAGTGTGTCTGTTACGAAATTCGTAGAGCGTGTTCCAGCCAACCTCCTGGGCTCAAATTTTGCACAGTGCATGCTACCCGCATGAAACTCCAACATGCAAAAGAACGAGCAGATTCGTTGAGTGTCCCTCAGAAACTGCGTGTCAAACGGATCCACTTTGCGTTTGGGCCGCAAAATTGGGTCCGTAATTCCACATTTTTCAGAGTCGTGGATGTTTATGGCAAGTAAATGTGAAAGCCATGAGCTTAGGCTCAAAAAAGCGATCAAAAGTCCATTACTTTACAAAAACGGCGCCAAAAAGTATTGGTTGGCTAAATGGTCAATTTGACAAGGTTTTACCAAACCATTTAACGAAAATTTTGCACAAAGTTGTAGCTCACGGTAACTGCTGTTCTTATTGCAACTGTAAAGGCCATGAGAAAATTAAGAACCTATAAAAATTTGCATTTGTTTTACTGCAAAAAGTCTCATCCACGCGAAATCACCGATTTCCCATACAAAAGCTTTCGGAATGAGTAGTTGTTTACATTTTGTTCGTGATAGTCGGCATTGCTCGGTGAGTTCCAATGCCATCATTATACGAGAATGAGTAGGGCCTAGATAGCAGAGCCAGTGCGAGCCTCTGCGAAGCAGAGGTGACGCACTGGTTACTAGAATATCTTGATTGCTTCTAGCAATGATTCAAGAATGTTTTTCTCTTCAAACTTTCCGCCATGCGAGTTTAGCCAGAAAAGTCTACAAATGATCGCTTGAAGTAGTACCTCGCTGCTGCTTTTTGCCGCTTAGGTGATGGTACCCTAGCGCACTTCTCTATTCTGGGCACGTCTAGTATGTTCATTGATAAGAGGGCGACTTTATTATTATAACAATGTCATTTTTGAAATTGTTTAATCGAAAATAGGGTCATTATTGACCAAAAAAGGTTGAGCATATGTCGCTAGGTAGGGCAACGCGAACTCTTGGTAAAACTTGTTAAACATGTAGGTGGCATGTCAAATTTTTTTGACACGTGGCAGAACGTTGACACTCTTTCCTATGAAGTTGGGAACAAATATGGTGCAGGGAAAGAAGCAGTATCCTTTTTTGCAAAAATGGGTCCGGATAACGGAAAAGTACCGAAAACCCTACTGTGTTTTATTACTTCCTTCAATAGAATTTTTATTTGCAGGGAAACGATACCTCATCTTACCGCAACAAAAATGGTTAGTTTGTTGTCTTCATTAGACTCGACGTTCAACCAAGGTTTTTAGTACCCAGTCAAAGTAAACTGCGTTGATCCTGTGGAAAACCTTGTGAGTTCAATGCAGACAATTTACGAGTACAAATTCTAAACCTTTTCACAACAGTTCCCAGTGCAAACGTTAAGCGAACCCCAGCAGTACGCAGTTCCTGAGGTAATGTTATACTGCAATCGTATACGCTTTCATATATTCATATCTGTTCGTTCATTTTTTCTTATATTTTTATTAATTTCTATATACATTTTTCTAGTTTCTTTCAATTTGTTTTTTTATTGTTTTGATGTTTTTAATTTTATCTGATTTAGTTTGATTTGATTTTGTATTTTATTTTTATTCTTATATTTTTTTTGTTCTTTCATTTTTTGACATTTATTGACTTATTCTTCAATTTTTGAATATATTAGGTCATTCCGAAAGTAATTTCACTTTTTGCAAAGGGGCGCCACATTTGAAGAAAAAGCGTTTTCTGGGAGTTCTTGGTAGCGTTCGATGCAGAATTTCATTCTCTTTCTAACGGTTATAAAATTGTTGCAAAACAATCAATGAGCTTTCAGAAAATAACCAAAATTTGCGACCCATGCTTTTTGAGATGGTCAACTTTCACGATTTTTTGAAACTTTCATGCCAGTCTTCAGAAGGAGTTCAGGTAACTATTTGATAGAGTAACCTTATAGAATATAGATCTGCTTTTTTCTTCTTTTCATATCTTGTCATACATTTTTAACAGAATTTTAACTGATGCTACCGATTTCCATACTTGGGCAGCTAAATCCTGATAGAACATCAAAAGAAGAGCAGCTCGCGCATTATTCGATGCAGCATTTTCTCCTCTTTCTAACAGGTGTTTTTTGTTTCCGATTCATTTAGATCCCGGGGAGTAATCATCATAACTCATTTTTTTAGCGATCCCCAGGCGTACCCGAAAAACACGAAATTTGATATTTCGAGTCCGTAAACTCTCACTTGCTTTGTAAAATTAATGCTAGCTCATAGTACCATCTTGGTAGTCTCAAATTCCGAAAAATTATGATGTTTGATGCGATTGTGGCCGATTAGGCCTGCCAAAATCCGATGGTTTTGTTAAAAAATCTTTTGAATAATTACGGCGAGCTACAAGAAAGAGACAAAAGTAGTGCTGTATTCTATGAGGTTTACTTTAGCGAATCGTTACTTGAACTCCTTTCGAGGATTGATACGAAAGTTTTAAAAAATCGTGAAACTTGACCATCTCAAAAAGCATGGGTCGCAAATTTTGGTCATTTTCTGAAAGCAGATTGACTGTTTTGCAACACTCTCATAACATTTAAAAAGAGAATGAAATTCTGCATCGAATGCACCCAAGATCACTTAAAAACCTTTGTTATATCAAATGTGGCGCCGTTTGAAAAAAGCGAAATTACTTTCGGAATGACCTAATATTTATGTATACAATTTTTGATTTTTTCAACTGCTTTCTTTATTGACTTTTTCACGTATGTTTATCTCTAATATATTTGCATTTTCTGTTTTCAGAGTCACGAGCAAGCCAATGTTTACTTGCCGCTAGAGGTATTACAATTATCATAATTATCCTAAACATTCACCGAAATTTCAGAGCATTTACGTCCCGGACATAAGGGCAACTGCTGCGCGACTTCGCTCCAGTACGGTAACCCATGTGTGCTGAACGTACCAATGCGATTTGAACCCATTGTAGACTGTCCAAGGAACTTCGAATATAAGAGGGACTGCGGCGCAGCTGCGTTCCATTGCAGTGAGTCACATACAATTTTCTGTTTGATTCAAATAAGCAGCTCCTAAGTAGTGTTGTAGAACTTCTTATGAGCAGTCTAAATACGTAATATCTCCTCTCCACCCTACGGATGAGCCTCGGAGAGGGTTTCTATTCAAAATTTATGCACATCGCATGTCTAGGGTTAAGAGGCGAAACATGTATTTATTGTGACTGCATTGATCTTACCAAATAATTGCACTGATTTTGAGGAAATCGTTTTAAGGCTCGAAACCCCCACAGTACGAAATACCAGTGCAAACGTCGACATTAGAAACATAGCCCATAGGCTTCGCGATGAAACTGTACGACATTTAGCTACTTATGATAAGTTTCCCTTCGAAGATAATTTTTAGGTAACAGTTTTTATACCAAATATCACATCGATGGTACAAAGTCTTCGTTACGTAAGCATCCTTTTCATGCGAATTTTTTTCCTACTAAGAAGTCCAATTTTAGTGCCCAGAATCTATGCCAGCAGTTGATGCAGTGGTGGAATCCCCAATGCCGTCCCTTGAATTTACTGAAATCTCACAGATATCTTCCAAACCACTCCTTGAATTCACTGAAACGTCTCAGATATCTTACAGGCCGAGTGTGGTAAGTTTTCGTCATATTAGCAAAGCAAACTAGAGCGTTGGTTATGCAGCTCACTTGATCGCACATGAAAAATCGGCACAGTATACACGAGATGAATGAACGGATCCCACAACAAAAGTAGCAATCTAACTTGGGGTTTAGTCTAAGATAATTCCATTTGTTTGTTATCAGATGAGTCAAAAAGAATGAGTCTTGATTATTTTTGTAGTATACTTGCCAATCATTCACCCAGTGACTATCTACTCAAAGGACTGCTGGGTTATTCGAAATGTACTTCAACATAAACAACTCTTTTTGTTTTTACAATCATCGACACAACACAGGAATGGTAAGTTTTTTCTTGTTGTGCAAATCGTAACACCAATCAGCTGAAGTTGCTTTGTCTAGGAACTAAAATGATTCTTCAGCATTGCAACTTTCTGCTGACCACAACATGTATGCATTTTGAGCATCCCTGCATGTTACAGTACGCATGTTGCAACTGCAATCGCACTCACAAGGTCACCCCTGGGGTCAATGCTTATCTGCATGCTTATTGTATTGTTTATTGTAAAAAATGTTATCATTCTATATTTCAGGATGAAATAAATGAAAGCGACCACGCCAGACAATGCACGGCTTGCGCCCATGTTTGCAAAGAAACTATTGAGTCTATGAATCAAACTAGAACGCACGAAAATCGGTTCGAAAGAAGAAGAAATGTATTCGGTCGCCATGGAAAGGATATAGTGAACCGTGTGCATATGTTTATCAGTGAAATGAAGAGGAAACTGGAGGGGACATGTGCCAACGCATTATTCGACTCGCCTAACAAATTGATTGCACTAGCACTGGGGATTTCAACCAGGACCGTGACGCGGATAAGCCAGACAGAGGAGACCCCACAGCCAGAGAGAATCACCCAAAACCGCAAAAGGATGAGGATGGTCAGCGTAAGAAGGAACGGACCACAGTGGGGCGAAGTAGTCAAGCAGGCTATACATCAGAAGTTGAGGGATGAGCTCGATATTACTATGACGGAGCTTCATGGCCATCTATGTAGCACATATGAAGATTTTGATCTCTCACGTGCCACCTTGCACAGACTTGTGCGAGGACTCGGCTTTTCTTATAGGAAAGTTAAACGTCAGATATACATCTTCAAAGACCTGCACTGGTGGCGAGAAGGGAAGAATACCTCAGAGGTATCGCAGAAGCACGGGAGCGGGGAGAATATGTTGTTTACATGGACGAGACATGGGTTTATAGCGGGATGACGAAAACGAAAGGCTGGGACGATAACAACATCCCCAGATTTGCCCCGCAGTCCATGTTCAATAGGTACTCCTACGGTCGAACGGCTTCTAAAAATAAGGGAAGAAGAGCCATCGTAATAGGCGCACTGGCGGGGGACGGGATGATAGTTGAGTGCACGAGGGTATTCATGAGTGGTAGGGCAGGTCAGAATGGCGACTATCATCTAGATATAAACCATTCCCTGTTTGAATCTTGGCTGCGGGAATCCCTGCCTTATATGGATGAAAGGGCTAATGGTAGGCGCGTGTGTCTAGTGATGGACATCGCGCCTTACCACACACGCCAACTGGAAAGAGTGCCCACATATTCATCCACGAAAGCGCAGATATGTGAATACCTGGCAACGAAAGGCATAGCGGTCGACATGCGGGAGACAAAAGCTGCGCTGCTAGAGAAGGTAACTTGTCTAAATCCTGTTGGAAGATACATAATTGTTCAAATTCAGCTTGAAAGATATGTGCAGTCGAGAGGGGGGTATTCTAGGCTCCGCAGATATGCTGCGGAGCAGATTTGCAATGAGTTTGGAGTGAATCTGTTGAGACTTCCTCCCTTCCATTGCTTTTTTAACCCCATCGAGCACTGCTGGAGCCAGCTGAAAGGTTCTTTGCGAAAGCATGGTAGGATAAGCGATAATATAGTGTTGGTGAGTTTCACTCTTGGTGATACTCCGCTGGCAGAGAAGTCGTGCATACTCAGATAATCGCCGGGAGCAGGCGGCCATTTGTTTTGAGCAAGCGGGCACCGGAAAAACAGTTCGCTGATTTCTTGCGGTCCGCTTGCAGAAATTTGAAAGAATATTGACCAAGTTTTGAAGTAATGCTAGGAAAACGATTGGTTTTTCCACAAATTAGTTGCGGCGCGGAGGCCGCATTCTCGCGGACTTTTCGCGAGAACATGCAAAATTATCAACGGCCCCAGGTCCTTTGTGAAGGACTGCATAGCCCGTAGGTACCTTCCGCAAAAGGAAAGTACGTCAAACTTGAGTAATTAAACCATCGATGACACTTCAGCCACATAGAGTCTCATCTTTTTCTCGGCGTATGCCCGAAACAGCGTTAAAAGAGTCCGAGCGCTTGCTAAAAATTTGGCGAGGGTTCGCTGAAGAGATTATTTGCCGAGCGCTTACAAAAAATGGTGTGTTGCTGCCCGCTGGCAGAATATACGACCGTGAAGGAAGTGCCGCCCGCTAAGGTTTGGCCGCACCCCAAAATTTCTGCTGACCGCCTGCAAAAACGCGAGTTTGCGAACCGCCTGCCCCCGATTATCTGAATATGTGAAGCTCTAAATAAACCCCCATTATAGGTGAGGGAGAGAACCATCAACTGGCTTGGTTCGGTTTCTTCAGCCTTAGCAGACGCATGGTATAGGGAAGCCAGAAGGGAAGAAACTGAGGCTTGGGAGAAGCACATCGACAGGGAGGAAGAGTCCACTGACACCACTGAGTCATCACTCTCGACAGAGAGTGATGACTCAGTGGAGTCTTTGTCCTCAGATTCCTCGTATCCGTATGCCGAGTGATATGTTTATAAGTATTTTGCATTTGAACAAAGTATTGTAACCCTAAAGTCTACAACACGCGCAGCTTGCGAACAGCTCTATGATATCCACATCTAGTTGGGGGAGGGGGGCAACAGAAGAACCACAGTGAAATCAACATCACCACATAAACAGGTCATTGGGATTGAAAATAGTTGTTAGCATGAAAATGAAGCGAAATGCTATAATTTCATGTTGACTTGATACTTATGAAGCAACATGCTCTCTCAAAACAACTAGAAAAACTGAAAGAAAACTGAAAATGAAGCCCTACACTTCAAAAAATTGGGAAGGTCACTCACATCCAAAGTTCATCGTAACAGGGAACACAAAATTGTTCGCCTCTTGTAATAGTAGAAATTCTTGCCACAAGAATCCGTCACAGCTTTCAGACAGCTAATCATTTTTCACGAATTTTCCTCTCCTAAACTGTTGCTATATAAGGACACGACATTCCTCTTGATTCGCTTGATCCGATTTGTGCCAAGCGCGCTCACTGATTTGTCATTTGGCGTCGCGTACAGCGATTGCGCAGCCATACGATTTCTTGTATGACCCATCCGACCTCAAATGACAATTCAATTATGTGAAGAGGATCAAGCGGATCAAGCCGATTGAGCGGATCAAGAAGATCAAGGTGAAATGAAGGGTCTGAAATTAACTAATCAGCAGTTCCTCATGATATTTGACACACAAACAGAACTTGTAATTGAACATTGCTAATTTTTTGCTTGAATTACAAGGACTCAGGCACACGAAGGGCCACTGCAAGAAAACAGTCGAGTTTTGAAAACTACACTATAAAATGAAACCAACAACCGCTTCCGTAATCTTTGTGTAAGTACATCGAGTTGCACGAATCAGTGGCATGAATCACTTTCCCGGTTGTCATGCATGTGATAGCAAACCGTAGTCTGGACAAACAAACGCCGAGGTAATAGTTTTCTTACCAAAACTACCAATAGCTGATGCATATGTAGTTGATTCGTTGACCGCACGGACTGGACATCACTGCGGAGCACGCGCCGCGAGGTAAAACGCTTGCAAGCACGAATTCGCCATTGTACAAGTCGTACTCTCGCGATAATCAGCGTGCACCGCGTGTGGTCCGCAGCGTTCGAGCAGTCCGTGCGGTCAAAGAATCAACGATACTTGCGGAATTGCTGTCAAGTCATTCACCACTGCAGCTGACACACACCAGGCGCCAGGTGACAGTAGTAGTAGTAGTGCGCCAGTACACCAAAACGATGATTTTGGTGTGAAATTTGGATTTTCCTCTGTCCCACTGCTGAAAAGCTCGTAATTGCGAGCATGGTGCTCAATGACGTCAATTCCCCGATTTTGCCGTAACAAGAACATTTGCGGGTCTTTTTTCAAAAAGCAGTGTGGTAGCAAATTCGATGGCATAAATCGAAAAGCTGCAGTATATATGAAGTGCAATAATTAGATTCAACACTTACGCATGAAACCGCAGAATCATTTTGGCTTCGGCAAGTTAGTTACTTTATATATCGGAAAATATTCGCACCATTCAAAAATGCTTGTACTCTTCTTCATCACATCTTTGTGCCAAAAGATTGAGAATCTCTTCCTGAAGACCCCTTGGATGGCAGAGCGCGATTTTTTCGGAAGTGGACGGAGGAACCTGACAAACACCATACCAAAGGAAGTGGTGCATTGACAATGCTTCCCAAAAATCAGGGGAAGCGTCCAAAGCGAGAATCTACCCGCATTTTTTGGTTGGTTAGGCAATTATATGGCATAGGGCGCGTAAAAAACAAGTTAGATCTAAACTTGCCTTCTTATCGAAGTTCGAGAGTCTACAAACTGATCATTCTTTGGTTCAACTCAGATGACAAGGCAATTCGTAACAAATAAGAAAGCCATAAAGCACCAACCATAGAGAACGGCTATAGATTGCCGGCAACTGGGTCCGAAGTTGCCGTCAGACGATAGCCTCTGCGCTTCGCCTCTCTCTAAGCTGTTTCTGACCCCGGCACGCCCGCAAATCCGGCAACCTCGGACACAGTTGCCGACAACCTATGACCGTTTCTATAGCTTCGACTTTCAAACAGTAAAAAAACAAAAATATGAAGATATTTCAGATTTAGTAAGAGAAAACAGTGACAAACTTCCAAAAAAGGGAAAAAAACACTAACCAGCATTCTTAGAAGCGCCGTCCATAGCTGTCATCGTAGCATGTTGTGATGCCGCTGATTCCTTCATGGCATAATAGATCAACTGAGCTAATGATCATTCGCTACAAGACTGAAGAACTTCATCATTTACTGAATCGTAAGTGTATAAAGCTTCTTTAGAATTGACTACCTGCAACAAAGTCAGATGGCAAAAGAGAACAAGAAAACAACAAGAATGAGATACCTTCAACGAAACGGCGGCAATCTCGTTGTTTGGTACGACACAACAGTCTAATCTATTGAAAATGACAGTCGCCTAAATCAAAAGGTTTGTGTATGGATAAACAGCGTCGATGCAATGCACAGAACGCGCTACAAGTGATCGCGAAATGCAAGTTGAGAAAATACACGTTATACAACGTAGACCCAGCTTTCCAACATTCGTTGCTTTTGAAGGTCCCTTGGAATTATTCATAAAAGTCTGACCTCGCTACTATCATCCTAATACTGCGTAACTGATAGGATAACCAAAAATCAAATAGATGAAATGTGTTGGCAACCAATATCAGGAAGCTGAGCCACTATTTCCTCGAAGTCGAATCCGGATGTGTCGCCTTGGCAGCGATAGAACCATCACCAGATGTCGGCAGTGTCTAACAATTTAGGTGAAAAGATAGAAAAAAGTGAAGAAAAAACGCGAAAAAGATCGAAATTCGAGGAGAAATCACACAGAAAGCAATTGAGCGCGATAGGCGCCATCGATTGGAAGTTGGCAAAGCGCCCAGACGATAGGCCCGCATACGTGGCGCAAGACCGATGCGACGTGGAGTGCGGCGGCGCCTCAACAACGTCATCAATCCACGTCATGTTGAGGGAAGACATATGGGATGATATCGAAGGTCATGCAGTGACCTCCAGCTATGCTAACCATTAAGTTGGTACGTGAATGACATGCTACATCTGTTTCTTCACAAAGCACAAGCAAGGCTACAACAAGCAAATGTCTTACAGCGCACAAGCAATCACATGACACCGAGTTTGAACTGTGTATACGGGCTTCAAACTACATTATGTAAAAAGTTCCAAAAACCATGCCTAATAGCGGTTCTCAAATATAGTCGTCCTCCCCCCACTAGACACTCGGTGGATGGATTTGAATTCGAGACGGAGCAAATGTTTAGCGTCAGAGCGCGGCAGACGCCGCCTCAGTCAAAGTGTGCGCAAAGGCTGTTTTTTCCATTTTTCTTTGTGATTCCTTGTTATTACTCATATTGCGGCAATGTATTGTATCATATTCGAGGTATTGTTGCCGCCATACCTTCGATAGTCTAGAGACAGGGCGTCAAAAGTGAAGGTTGTTTGAACATCTGGCATCATAAATAGTGAAGGCTGTTTAAAGAATATCAGAGAAAAGAATGTGACGTAAAACAGATATAAATAGCAAAAAAAAACTGCTGAAAACCGGATAAAAACGCCGCAAAGAGGTCTGAAATCTTTCATTTGGCGGCTTTTTCAAAGTGCAAGTTTTCGCTCTAGGACCAGCAATTCGCAACACGGGGTTTTGATTTTTGATGCGTCCTTTGAATTTTTACCCCCGCATTGACGTCCCTGTTTCCTGGGACGTTGTCTGGATTGTTGCGCTTATTGTTCTGAGCAATAATCGCCCAAGCTGGAAAAAATCGATGCGAAGGCACTGAAACAGAACAAGGTAAAGAAAAACGCACTTTTTACGATTTTTCGCAAAAAATTCCACCATAATCGAAGAGGTAAGGGCTGGGTGGTTGTCTGCATTATGAACAGAAGTAAGGTCTATAGAATGCACGAAATAACAGCTTGAAAAGAGGTAAATTGAGAGAAAAACAAGAGATTTTCGATAACAAGGTTTTTGCCGGATTTCTCAATCAAATCAAAACATGTGATTCTGGGACGTTGTCAGCGTGAAAATAGAGATCAAGAGCTTCAAAATGATATATAGCTTGCTAAAATTGGGTTCGAAACAGTGAAGAAAAGGGTACCAGAGCCAAATGCCCCGCGCCCCGCGTTGGGGGTAGCGAGGTAGGGTGCAGCGTGCGGAGACGCAGACGAGCAGCGGAGACAGACCAGAGCCGACGGGGCATTTGGCTCTGGTAGTAGATCTCCGCAGGGTCTCAATGAAACCCTACAACATTATATTTCATTCTGATCGTCATAACACGACAAGGAGAACTGACAACGTCCCAAGCTTTGAAATTCGCTCGTTAACGAGATAGACCAGCGTTTTCGTGCGCGACTCTTTGCGCAAGATTTGAGCGCAGTTTCTGGTTTTTATTTAACTCCAATAGCTTTCCCAAACTTCTGAAACTCGATCTTATTTAAATGAGAAGATGACTGAGAAATTTTGTCTTGAATTCTGGCAAAGATTCCACAGAAACCTTCTTTTTGAGGTAAAAAAGGCTATGAAAGCGCAAATTCTCGTTTCGCTGAGTTCGCTGAGATAAACTAAAGGTATTATTCCCTATATTTGCTTCATTAACATTCGTTCCGATATAGTCAGGATAATAATATCCGGGGAGAAGCCCCGGATGACTTCTGTTTTTTTCCAGGTGAAGGTTGTGGTCCCCCAGCCCTCAAAGTGAAGGTTACCAGAGTACGTGGCTCTATGTATCGAGGGTATGGTTGCCGCTGATCGCTGTTTGATGCTCTTATTATCGTTTGCCGTACATTTTTTTTCAGAAAGCTGGAAATACGATGCAGTTGAAGATTTTTCAATGAAGCGTCACTCTTTCCGGTAGGTAACACATTAGTGTTGACATTGTAAACTGCGAATCAATTTTTCAGTAAAATGTGCTCTCCAACTTTTTTCCAGACCTAAATCTTTTCAAGGAGTATAGGTAAGTTTCTTGGATGATGCACCCGACATTTTCGTCCTCTATGATAATATCCGTGCCGTATGTATTTCCTTTGTTGTACGTGAGCCTTGGCACTTGGTTGTCCGCCTAGCGTTTCCCTTCTTTGTGAAAAAGTGAACCGTTAGGCGTCAGCTGATATGCCACAGCTTTAGTGTGAAATTTCTGAAACTGTAAAAGGTAAGGACTCTTACATTTTCATAATTCGTTGTGTTTTACCCTCCGAAAGTGTTGTCATCGCTACTCTATCACAAAAAGTTAAAGTCTTTGCACGCATATTACTTTCAACGCCTTTTTTTACTCATCGCAACTTGTCATGGCAGCAGTTGGATTTCTGTTCACATCCGAACTAAGGTGGTTCAGTGTGCATGCTTTAGATGATGCATGGATCCTTTGTCACTGACTGCTAAGCCTAAGCCTCGGTTGCTCGTCTAGGGTTTCTCTTCTTTGTGAGAATGTGAACCTGTAGCCGTTAACCGAAAAACCTTAGTGCGCTATATGCGTCAGGACGAACAAGGATCATAGAAACTGCATGCAGCTTAGCTTAACAGTACAAAACAGTAATTTTGCATGCCACTCCAAAATGTAGCGTATGCTGCACGATGCTTTCATTAGCAGATTGTGTTTGATACGCTAATTTAGGTCTTACATGTCGACTTTTTCGCAAATGCTTCATCTTGCTCAATAGTCTGACAACTATGAAAAAGCTGGAAGTGAAGTGATTGCTAAGCCCACTTCCTCATGAAACTTCTGTGATCTTCGTAAATGACCTTATACCAGGAAAGATCATATCAGCTTCCTTCTAGTTCGAGATTCACTACGTTGAAAAATAACTTCCCTGACGATAGCTGGACGATCATTGTTATTGCAGTTTTTGTAAATTCTTCATCCCCTTATGTCACTAAAGTTGAAGTCCGTTCACCTTATTCCCATGTCTTTTTTTCCCGAATGCTCCTCTGTTCTTATGTTTTCCCTTTGTACTGTTTTTCGAACTTACGCTTACTTCTTTTTGACTGAAAACTTTGCAGACGCTTCTGGTTCGAATATCTTCAGTTGCATAGTTATCGTAAACCACGTCATGGAAGAACACACTTATGCAAGGAGAGTTTTGAGGGAGCTACAGCAACCGATGCGTCCTATTCAAAAGGTTTGATGTTTAGTCAAATGGAGTAATGCGACATTGATAATACAGCACATTGGCGAATTTTATTTATTCACAAGTTTCTGCAATAAATGTTCATTTTATCAGCCTACTTGCACATGTAGAGTTTCCATGCCGAGGACAGAGGGCAGGGCGTTCATCTCAAACATGAAGGGCTGATTTGAGAAAGAGGAAAGGCTTTTTTGTATAAATGGCCAGCTTTGCAAATAGGCTTTCAGTTACACTAGAGAAACTTCAGAAATTTAACAAACACCACCCACACATGACGATGCGCTAAGGATCCTGCACCATGAAATGTATTCTGAGGCATATGCGGTAGTCAAGATTCCATTAGGCGTAGCATCTTAGAGAATAGTTTCCAGATGTTACACCCAGATGCACTTAGATCTAATGATGCGGCAGAGCAAGCGGCCCCAACGGTTAGAACCTCCTAGGAAACTTGAGTCGATGCATTTTGTGGCAGTGTGATTTTCCTTGCGAACTTCATCTAATGCCAATGAAATAGAGCTACTGCAACATCAGATATATCTAGAGGCACATGAGGTAGCCTAGCAAGCAAGTCCAACAGCACCCAGTTGAAATATTTCCAGATTCTGCACCCACAACATGCTATTATCAGACCCAGCACCTCAGCAGAAGAGGCGGCCACAGGGGTCAGACAAGGCTATTTCAGAATTTGTTTAGCAGTTGCCGCATTAACTTGTAGCGCTTTTGACGCATGGATTTCAGATGAATGTTGGACTAGAAACAAAGATTCGTAGCCTCAATCCCAGCATGTTCCAACATCTCGGCAGCTTCTGTGAACAGAGTGGAAGTTCGAGAAAACGAGTGAGGCAGCTACATCCACACGCAATTATTACAAGAGTCAAGAATTTCTTCACTGTTCTCAAACAACAATTAGGAGCAGATGGTTGCGGTACGATCTTTGACACTCCAGCGAACTTGACTGCTGCTTGCGGGGTCTCCTTGAGTACCGTCCACCGAGTGAACAGAGCACAAGCCGAAAACCCACCGAATCTAGGGAGACAACAGAGAACAACTCGTACCAGGAAACATATGAGGAAATAGGTGGTAAGAAAATATGGAGAGGAGTGGACCGAAAGAGTGAGGCGTTTCGTGCATAGCAAGCTGAGACAAGAACTAAATGTTACCGTCGACAGCATCCGAAGAGGTCTTACTGAAGCGTATCCAGAATTCACGATGTCCAATGAGATATTAGGTCGTTTCCTAACTGGACTAGGCTTCTCGTACGGAAAGAACACCGCACAGCCAATCATCTCCGAACGTCCAGACCTCGTTCAAGAAAGGGCCACTTATCTTACGAGGATGGAAGAAGCACGACGTCGCGGTAGTTGCTTGGTGTTCATGGATGAAACGTGGGTCTTTGATTCCATGACGAAAGAGGTAGGATGGAACAATAACACCATCCTCGTTTCGCCTCTGCCGAAGTAATGCGAACATACTCTTGTGGCAAAACAGCTGCAAAGGATAAGGGAAGAAGAGCCATCGTGATTGGAGCGATTACGGAGGAGGGTGTTGCACCGGAAAGCACCAAAGTAGTTGCGAGCTCAGGCACGCGAAGAGCGACGATGACTACTATCGCGATGTGGACCACTCACTTTTCGAGAAATGGTTACAATATTCTATTCCACACATGAAGCGCATCGCGGGTGGTCGTCCTCTTGCGTTGATTATGGATAACGCTCATACCATACGCGCCAATTAAGGAAGGTCCTCGCATAGGTAAGGATTCCCCTAGCTTGTGAACGATGGCAGTTTCAGGTACCAACAAGATCATCAACTAAAGCCGAGCTCGAGAACTTAGGGAAAAAGGTGTAGTGGTGCCCCAAAATAGCACGAAAGCATATTTGTTAGAAGAGGTCCGGATTTGCCCCAATGTAAAAGTTGTCAAAAACCACCATTTCAGTTGAATCTGTACATCTCGAGTAGGGGCGGCGTAGCAGCTTTACGCTGCTATGCCGCTGAGAAGATTTGCGAGGAAAATGGCGTGGCATTGATTAGGTTACCGCCTTTTCATTGCTTTTTCAATCCTATCGAATAGTGCTGGTCCTAACTCAAAGGACACCTCAGAAGAGTAGGGAAACTGGGAGATACCTAGAGCTGGTATAGTTGCCTTATCTATAGTAAGCGAGGTAGGCATGGTAAGTTTCAGGTGAGAACTAGGACCTTGGAGTACATGCGTGCCTTGCCATCTTCGATGTGTCGAGACTGGTTCGGACATATTGTAAAACAAGGGCCTGTAATAAACCCCTCGTGGTTGTCACAACATAGAGGGACTATGTCGTGATAGCTCGGGTGTATCGCAAGACTATAGCGAGCTATCCGCAGGGCGCCGCAAAACGAGCGCCTCCGCGCGTCATTGAACCGCTGATGACCGCGATAACAGCGGTCACACGCGCTGCGCTATGAGTACAGATATGCCGTGGGGTATTTGCTTAGCAAGGCATGAATGTAGTATACTATGCTTGCCAGAGCAGGTAAATCAATCAAAGGAAATCCAATAACTAACATCCTCGCGTGTGCGCGCCTCTTTCTCCATATTTCGACTCATTATCTCATGTTCATCAATATTGATAGGAAAACGCAGTTGATCTATGTCTGTTGCAGAATTATGCTTATCTTTGTACACCATGCTGTAAGAAGCGCCATTATCCGCCATGGCAGGACCATATTTGACTGTTGCCCTCAATAAAAATTGAGCGTGTCAGCCCGTACCAGATTCGCGCCAGCCCGTGCCCCGACACAGATGTTCTAGCAGCGCGCACATTCGCTGCGCTGTATGCTACTACGCCTTGCTTTGCTAGGGTAACGATACATGTAGCAAATAGAGCAGTCGCAGCAAATCAGTATGGGAAAAGATATGCATGCCTTATCCGTTAGTATTGTTGAAGGGTTAGCTACTACTTTTGCAATTATTGTGAAACAGCTCAACAACTCAACATAGCTTGTAGTTAGCGCAGTGCCAGTGTGAGAGGCCGGTGTGCTAGACTTGGGGGTACAAGTTCCAGGCGACACTATCTTTTTTTGCTGGCAAACTGAATTTTGCAAAGGAACGTAAATTAGAATTTTCTTTTTGAAAGAAAATGGAATTTAAAGTAGAATACATATTGAAAGTGTACAAGAAAAATCAAAATATTATCATCAGCATTCAGTCCGTTCAAAAATGGGCTATTCCATTAGCCATAACGCCAGACGGTCCTTTCTCATAAAAACGAAAGGAAACGAGAGGTGCATGGCTAACGAACAGCAACCAGCAAAGATATGTGGTCGAAACTGCCAAGAATGATGAAAAGATCAAGAATATGCGAAAGTTTGGCACAAAGAAGGGACTTTTTGCTCAAACAAGATGCATAGCAAAAATAAAGAAGAAAACTGCATAAGTACGAAAAATATGGCTAAGTATGAGTCTAACATACTTTTTTCAAATACCAAAGCTGCAGCAGCAGAAGTACTTGGAGAATAGGGAGAGGCGCATTGCTCGAACAGTTAGGCGCTTATCAGCTGTTGATATTGATGGCGGTTGACGTGCGTTATAGAGAACTGTGTGCATGTGCGACCATTGCGAGGTCGGCGTAGTCGAGCTCTAGTCTTGCGCTATGTCTCTGCGTCTCTATGATGGACAATTTCGCCATCTTGTTCGTCACGACATGTCGCAATATGTCGCTATATGTCGCGATATGTCGCGACATATCGCGACAAAGTGCGACTACCCTGACGCTACGCATCGATTGCATCCGCCGGCAATGATGAAGGATAGCCGCTTTGCCAGCCTCGCTCCATGATAGTCAGCACATGTCACAGCATACTCCGAGCTATACGTCACGACGTCCGGGGGGGGGGGGGGGTTTACTACAGGCCAAGAAGACGCGGCAAGACTCAAGATGTCCTTAGATTTAGCCAACAGCATTAGCGCTGCAGAAACCCTGGGTTCTGAACTGTCATCGTCTAGTGATGAGAACCTTGATATAGAAACCAACGAAAATGACCTTGACTTAAGCGAGTAGAAAAATCGTAGGTTTAACCAGTGTCTTCTCACCATAGGACCAAAGCCCAATCACTACCAACAGACATCAAGGCCTGTAGTAATCCCCCCTACCTCGTAACGTACGAGGTCGCGAGATAAGCTCGAGCTTAGTTTCATTCCTCAATGCATTGATCGACTTACCGGCTATCCTTCAACACACTCGTCGAATCACGTCAAGAACAGCTCGTGAACTAAGCTCGAGCTAAAGCTCGTGACCTTAGACATATCTCACGAGCTCGTACACGAGCTCGACTTTCCTCCTCAGATAGTGGGCAATGGTGAGAAACGCAGAAAAATGGCACGAGACTAGAGCTCGAGTATGCCAAGTTCACGACCTGATAATCGTGCCGGGACCCGCCTACAGTACGCCAACTTTCCGAAAGTACAGGCGCTAATCGTATTTTCTGCCATTTCGGTTGCAAATTCTATCTAATTTACTTGTTTGCTTTCAGAGCTCTTCGCTATCGTTTGTTTATCTTTATTCGTTTTTTACCCCGTGCGATTTTGATGCTTTGTTCTAGGGAGCTCCCAATCGGCAGAAGAGGGACAAGCGGGTAGAAGTCTCACCTACTTTTATGCTCGTGAAGATTTCTGAAATGATGTGATACCGCGCGAGAAACAGCACTGAACTGGTTCTTTTCCATTGGTATAGGTCAGTGTTAGGATCTTAATCAGCGCATAGTATCTGACCTTCATGATTCCTTTCCTCTGTAAATCCTTACGAAAGAGGTAAGTCTGCAATGCCGTTTTAGCTTCATAATATTCGTAAGTACAATAAATTATTGTACAGTAAATTGCTGATGAGTAGAAACCATTATCCGTCGGAATCCGGCGCTGACCTCAGCTACAGTATAACAGTATATAGCTAATGCGGCCATAAAAGGCGACCCGGCTGCCTCTTACTTTTCATTGATCGTACTTATCAGATCATAAAGTGGTCCTGCATATGATATGATGTGTTGTTTATCCTCTGGGTCGTATATATAACTAATCATTTCGCTATCTGTATTCGAATAATAAATGGGGACCTGAGTTTGCTAACAAATGATGGTGTTGATGGATGACGTAGAAGGGTCACTTACGAAATCTTTCGTTGTTAAGGATTTCAAAACAAGACTTTCGTTGGTAAGGATGACTTCATCTCCCTGAACAATGTACACTTGGGAAGCAGAGGTTCTTCTAACTTCATCAAATAAAACCCATTTTTATTCTGGCGAACAGTTATTGGGATATCTCGATAATGATAAATTCTATGAGAAATCCTGGAGAAACATCACTTCCTTAGTGTTTGCACGTTATGGCATACTGAGAGAATATCCAAGATGAGGAGAATTTTCAGTATCGTGAAAAGATCACAGGGTAAACAAGACAAATGATAGTTTCAGGATGACCTAATGATGTGGTAAGTAAAATTTATATGTAATAAGTAAGATTCATAGCTAAAGGAAAGATGAGAAGCAGCTGGGTCGCCTTTTATGGTCGCATTAGCTATAAACTGTAGCTAAGGTCAACGCCGGATTCCGACGGATAATGGTTTCTCCCCTATTATTGTGATATTTCGTCCATTAACTAATGCTTAGGTAGAAGAGATAGTTTTACACCGCTACTTTGTCGGTCTTTGTGTCCAAGTTGAATACCAAAATGATTTTAGGGAAAGTATGCTGTCACGACTATCCGCACGTGGAATTGCTACTCTACCGCTGCTTGCAGGTTCGTTCCATTTTATTGTAGAAGAATTTTGGAATATTGGAGAGAATTTATGCTTACCATTCCTTGATTTTTTACCGAAATAATTTGTCTCCACCTTTTTCACCATTTTGTTCAATGTTTTGTCTTAGGGCATCAACGGTGTTCTCTGATAAGAATGAAATCGCATTTCCAATCCATGAAAAGGAGCCGAAACACGTTGAAATCAAAGACGCCTTTGGAAAGATTAAATCAGGTGGGTCACCATGTTTGCTAATCATTCCTTGTTATATTGTGATTTTTTGGCTTTCTCGATGTAATTTAACATTTTTTTGAAAAGTTGCTTGAATGTGCACGACTAAGATCATATGGTGGACAACAAAGTCTTTTCTATAAAATTGAATTCTTTGGGCAATCCTTTGTGAAATACTCCCATCAAATACTATTCATTATTCTCGTTTTCGTAGAACACGTGTTTGAGAGAAGATCCCGTTCACTGGTCTACGATGATCAAGGTGTTCGCTTTATCTGTACCCGTGAAATCCCTTTACACCCGAATTACGTTCCCCACTTTTTGATTCCACGTAAGGAGATTTATTTGACTTTTTAAGCCTATATTCCTGGAGCTAATTCTTTTCCATGTTTGCGTTTACGAGACTATGTAGTGTATTTCCAATAACAACGATTATTGATTGCGCTAATGATACTATACAAACCGTGATGTGTTCCGAAAGTGCAATAAAGCAGGTGTTAGCGGTGCTCGCTGTCTAATCTCAGCTCATCTTCGATGTGTCAATCTATTTATGGATCCATTAACATAAAAATTTAGCTCAAGATTCAAAAATATACTTATCTATGCCTTATGACAAGCCTGGCAAAATTCGTGTTTTCCCTCTTGAATGGTCGTGTACTTCTAAAATTCATTGGTGGTATATATTTATTGGAGTGGATGAGCACACTGCGCCAATTGACAGAGAGACATACTTGTATTGCTTACTAGATGCATACAGACAGACAAACATACTTTTATTGCTCACTAGATGTAGATTTCCAAAAAACAAAATGCATCCATTATTTCTTCAGGAGACAACATTTTCATTCACGGAATTGCCGCAACACCCACTCCTCTGTTGAAAGGACTTTGTGAACATGCAAAAGCAAATAATCTCAAAGGAATCAAGCTTCATCATCTACATTTGGAAGGCGAGACTCCATGGACTGCACCGGACATGAAAGGTGCTTTGCTGACATTTTCTCACATTTCTGATAACAATTTTGTTTTGTTGTGATTACGCACATTCGTTCTTTTTTTGTCATGTACTTTATATGATCCTGGTTGCAGATCGCATTCGATCGAACTCGCTTTTCACTGGCACAAATCTTCGCAAAGCTGTTAATGAAGGTCTGTTAAGGTTTCCATATAATGTCCATTACTCCAATTTTAGCAGCTGATTTTCTTTCATTTTCAGGTATTGCCGACTTCAACTCGTGTTTCCTACAAGAGGTTCTTATGCTTTTCCGACGTGGAGCAATCAAGGTGAATGCTGCAATAATCCATGTAAGTGAATCATCTATCACAAACGTGATATTCATATCTGGATTCTGATAAATCGATCTCACCTTTACAAAGTTTAGTCAATTATGCCGTTATTGCTTGACTTAGATAACTTTTTTAGTTGCTCATTTATAGTAGAAAAAAAAGAGATCAATCATTCGTAGTAAAAGCATTGCTGACTATTTTTTCGTCTTTTACAAACCAAATTGGGCTTATTGAAGGTTTCACCTCCTGACCAGAGTGGCTAGGCCATCCACCCTGGAAAGCTTGTTGTCGGTTTCGTTTATGGATCAACTAAGTTATACGACTTCTTGAGCGACAACCCACTTGTTGAGTTCGGTGATATCCAATGGGTAAACGATCCCGCTATCATCCGGCAAAATCCTAAAGTCACTGCAATTAACGCTGCCGTTGAAATCGATCTTACTGGGCAAGGTGAGAGTTTACGTATGCTATATGTCCTACTGTCTTGAAACCTGGGCATACTGTGATAGCTGATTTCAATACTTTTCTTCTGCCGTACAGGTTGTTATAGGTGACACTTTATTGCCCAACGTTTCGGCACAACGCCGTCGTCAGAGGCTTAAAAGGAGTCAGTCACTTCGATTCACGATCTTAGTCGCCAAACATCTCCTCCCACTCGGCCATTCGAATGGTCTTTAGTGGAAGCAGGAGGTCTGCGAGTAGAGTTTGACTCACCAGAGTGCCACCGTGATTTGTAGCAGTATCAGCTGCTTTATATGTGCTTGGACCGACTGCGGTGTTGAGTATAGACAGTCGTGTCAACTGACTGCGATGTTGAGAATAAGCAGTCGCGATGTCAACGAACTGCTTAAATAGGACAAATGACAAATGATCTTATAGTTTGCAATATGTCAGATACGGCATTAGATCTCCAGTTATAGATAATTGTTCATTCTTGTTGTTGATCTTGGGGTCACGGACAAGAATGTAGGACGCTTCGAGGGCCTTTCTAGCGGAGATATGGTTCTCGTAGGCCAAAATTATGCACTTAATGTCGAAATCGGTACCGCTATGATCTATCTTTCTATGCTTTCCTAGCGGACTCATTACGTTCTGCCGCTTTTTGCTAGCCAAATGCTCGTTTACGCGCACGCACAGTGGTTTACCTGTTTCAACGATGTATATGGCAAAGCACGCTAAGCATTCTATTTGATACACAACGCCAGACTTCGAACAGTCTCCAGCCTTCCCATAAGGGCAGATTATGCAATTTCGCGTGACACAAGTCCTGTCATAAATTGATTACGTACCAGTTGTGTTTTGATGTTGTCTCGGGGAATATTTACCAAGACAATTTCGTTCTCCAACTGTGCTCGTATCAAGCATTGTCTTATCGCAGTACTGACCTTTTCGGAGATGTAAGGGAGGCACAGAGGTATTTTGTTCATGTTCTGTTCACTCGCCTTTGCTGATGTTTTCTTTGTTCGTCTAGGGCGCATAGTATAACCATTTGCAGTCATTATTTCAGCTGCCATCCTCAGTGATTCCTGTTTTTCCTTTTCGCCGCTACAGATGTTGACTGCCGTTTTGATCATATTCCGGATTATGGCGCGTTTCACGGCTGTCGGGTGCGCGGATTGTGCATGCAGAAGAATATTCTTACTGCTCTCTTTTCTGTACCATTTGACCTGTACCGTGTCATTTACCACCATCAGCTGCGCATTCAGGAACGGTAGCCAACCGTTGCATGGCTTCTCCCGCGTGAAGCTTATGTACTGAGATTGTTGATTCAATAGTCTAAAACACTCGTCCATTTCGGACTGTGTTGAAGTAATGATACAACAATCGTCGATGTATCGACAGTACATAAGCGGACTTCTCGATAGCACAGGTTGTTCAATTCTGCTCATGAAGCAGATTGCTAAGACGGGTGCCAATCGTTGGCCCATTGCCAAACCTCTAACTTGTGCATAGTGTTGGCCCGACCACTTGAAAATATTACAACGCAAGCATTCCTTAATGAGTGTTATGACGCGTGCTTTGCTGAGAGTGTACATCGTTATAGTTTTACTATGCAGTTCCAACATCTCAGAAAGCGCTTGCAATGCGTCTTCATTGGCTACATTGGTATACAATGAAGTTACGTCAAACGACTCAACTACGCATTCTTGACTGAAATTTGTCTGACGTAGAAGCTCAAGGAAATGATTGGTATTGGTCAAATGGGCGGGTATCTTGTTTAAAAGTTGGCTCACGATTTTGTTAAGGAACCATGATATACGGTCGGTTGGACCGTTGACGCAGCTGATGATGGGCCGGATCTTGTAAGACGTGGCTGTGACGGATTGCATGTCAAACGGAGAAAGCTTATATGTCTTAATTAGGCTGTAAAATACAGGGCATGTGGGAGTTTCAAGCTTGAGTCTACTGAGGAACCTTTCAGGAAGACCAGCTTCTTTCCCTACCATCGTCCAGACATGGTTCAACCTCTTGCACTGTGAGAGAAATTCCCTTTCAGTTGCTGGTTGATAGACGGTGTTATCTGACAAGTGTTCTTTGATAATCTCTCGATCCAGGCTTTGCGACATGACCACAAACTCGCCACCCTTGTCGCTGACTGAGAGGCGTATAGTGCCGTTGCTGGTCAGCTCTTTTATCTCTTTGAAGCCCCGTTGTTGTGCTTGCGTTAAGTTAGATCTTTTGATACCTCTGTTGTCATTTAACACATTCAGGATGCTGAGCGAGAGTATTCGGAACTTGGTGTCAGCTGCGATACACGGTTCTGGCTCTTTATAGAAAGAGGAAGGAAACGGTACTATGGGTAAAGTCCTTCGACTTAGGGTGTCGCAATATTGAGCTTAGTCGTCGCGCTTTAACTTAAGCCGAAGCTGGTCTCTTAAACGCTAAAGTGATCCCAATACGTTGCGGTAAGTTCTTGCGTTTATATTCTGTGTAGGTGCAAATGAGGGTCCTAAGCTCAGAAATTCAACAGCATTAGACGAGATTTGAGCATTACCTAATACTGTGACCCTAGCCGTTCTTTCAATTGCTTTATCGTTTTGATCATCTGCACTATCTTGACAGTAACAAGCTGGTGATATTCCTCTAGCTACAACAGAACTCTCCTTACCTCCACTCAAGAGTCCTTCGAACTTTTTGCAGAGCGTGGACTTAATGTTAGACCGCAAAGAATCGCAGATCCGTTTTGACGCACTTTCAAGGCTCTTCCATTCTTTATCATCCATGTGGCGTCGGCACGAATCTTCTTTGGCTTTGCACTTCAACAGATTCGAGTAAAACATGTGTTGTTTTTCCTTGATCACCACGTTGAGAATTTTCATGTAGAGAGAGTACTCTGCGTTGATACCACTGCTT